TCACAGTATTAGGATGAAATACAGAAAGGAGGACTCTCAATTTTATTTTATTTTTTCTTTCTTCCTTTTTTTTTTTCTTTTTAATCTCAGGTACTTCTGGTGACATTGTGTTGACTCAGTCTCCCTCCTCTCTGTCTGGGGCTCCTGGAGAGAAAATCACCATCACCTGCATAGCCAGTCAAAGTGTCAAGTACACTGATGGGAAAACCTATCTGAACTGGTTCCAACAGAAAAGTGGACGAGTTAAGCATCTCATTTACCAAGTTTCCAACTTACGAACTGGAGTCCCATCGCGGTTCAGTGGCAGTGGGTCTGACAGAGATTTCAGCCTCACCATCAGCAGCCTGGAGGCTGAAGATGCCGCGGTCTACTACTGTGAGCAAGGTTCCTATAGTCCTCCACAGTGATACAGTCCATAACAGAAACCCCACAGCAGCCCCCTGAGCCTCCATCTGGGCTGCTCCTCCTCCTCTGGCACCTGCTGCTCCTGTTCAGTCACCCTCTCTCTATCTGTGGTTATTTACATTACAGCAAAGCCAAGACCATGCAGCTGTTGAAGCTGCCATTCTGGGTTACAGTAAAATGCCATCCAGTTGAATTCTTAATAATCTTAGAAGTACTCTCTTTGACTGATAATGCCTTATATTTATTTTCAATTTCAGTCAGGTAGAAAATATCCCTTGTCTTTAAAAAACAAAAGTCATTATGAGCCACTATGAGGCATCTGTGTTCTCCATGTGAAGGATAAAAAATAAGATTTTCTAACTTAAACCAAGGCTGAAAAACAGTGGAGCACGGAATTTGAAAACATTCATTTTCTAGAAACTATTACCAAGACATAATCTCTTTACATTTGAAACATATATAACCCATTTATTCATGAAGTTTAAACTGAGCAGTTGCAATAAATCATGGCTGTTACTAGGTGTATCAATTGGTAACAATTTTGCATGCAATTCAGTAGACTTTGTAGTCAATACAAATCATTGCATTCTTTTGATATTTTTGTCTCACCATTTTCAAATATAACCAAACAAATTAGACACACCTAGTTTTATCATTTGTCCAATTAAAAAAGAAAATGCTACATTTACCAATAACTATATTTAATGTAGACCTTTCTACTGAATTTTTGTCTAATACTTTTTATTAGAAATCTTCATAATGAGAATCTATTAATAGTAAATTTTCCCAATTGTTTATTTATTCAACTTGAGAATGACGTGAGAAAATGTATTCATTCTTTCTTGCTCTTGAATGATAACGTTTTTATAAAAAATTAGGGTGTCGGTCATTTTCTTTTAGGAATAAACATATTTTATTTATGCTGTTGAGACAGAAATAACAGACTAATTGCTGTTTCTTTGTAGGTAAACTTTTTTCCCTCTTACTGAAGAGGATAGTCCGTCTTTGATGTACAGCTGTATCCAATCATGGGGCTAGGTGTTAATATATTTTTATTTGTTATATCTGAAATTTAATATGCTTCCTAAATTTGTAGTTCATCAAGTTTGGAAAATGTTTCAACAGTTATCTTTTTTTAAATACAACTTTTTCACCATTTTATTTTGCTCCTCTGGAACATATCTTGTTAAGATTCATCTTGTTAAGGCACATGTAGCAATACTTGCAGCTGAGCACTAAGAAGAATAAAGGGGAATCTTTTTCTCTGTGTGGATCCAGAAACTACCCAAGAGGTGGTCACACTGGAGTGAACAAGAGAGACAGTGCCCATTCTCTCACATAGCTCCCATTCCCGTGCTAGCATTTGAATAACACTTTCTATGTTCCAGGACCTATTCTATGTTCTTAACAGGATTTATTTCTTTTATCTTTGCCACAACTGTACACAACCAATTTTATTGTTACTCCGTTTTATAGATAAAAATGGCAGCAGGAAATATTCAGAAATTTCCCATGGTCTCACAGCATAAATATCACAGCTGGGATTGAGATACAGGAAGACCAGCCCAGCTGTCCATGCTCCTGGCTGTTGTCATCAAACCTTGGTATTACTTGTCCTACTAACACAACATCACATTGTTCCTATGTGTCTCTGTGTCCAGAACTTTCTTTTCTTAAAAGAATACCCATCATTGGATAAGGGCCCACTGTAATCTGGTATAGCCTCATAGCAAAATTAATCAGGTGAGTATAGTATGTGGATAAGTGAAATGAATAAAAGAAAAGTCTTAAGGGAGAGAAGGAAAAAACTGGAAATATTCATTAGTAAGTAATATACCTGGGCTGCTGGTGAAATAGTACAGTGTTACTGGAAATTGGCCTTAAATTAGTTGTTAATATATGAATATATTGCAAACTCTAGGACAACCACTTAAAAATAAACCAAAAATATTTTATAAATCAATATGTCAGAGAGAAAAGGAAATCATATAATATGTCCAATCAAAGCCAGACAATAAAAAAATCAACAGATATAAAATACTTATAAATATGGTCAAAATTAATCCAAATATATAAATATTCAGTTTAAATAATTCATTTTATAAAAAATAAATAAATAAATAAATAAATAATCCATTTTATGCCATAACGTCAAAAAGAGTGAATTAAAAAATAAACAAGCCCCAACTCTAATATTGTCTACATAAAACCCACTTTGAATACAAAACTCTGGATATGTTAAAAAGTAAATGGAAAAAGAAATCTAAACCAAGCTAACGTAATGAAGACAAAGCTGGAGGAACCATGGTGATTTCAGACAAAGCAGAAACCAGACATGGAATATTATTGGTGGTAGATGGGGACATCACATAATGACAAAGATGTCAAATCTCCAAGAAGAATAAATCTTTCATGGTTATGCATCTTACAACAGAGCATAGAAGTAATAACAGTCTAAAACTGTGAAGTCTCATATGGTAAACACTATGTGAACTTAAAAAATGAATGAAAATTAAAATTACTGAAAATCAAAAACCATTTCTCACTTATATGAGCTAAACTTCACATGTTCAATACATATATGTGACTGAATATTACCCAGTTGGATAGGACAAGTATATGGATCTTTGTCATCTTAGAATAGTATTATGGTCATCACTATTCTGCAAGGTTATACTTGGTCACTGATAGTTTCATTGTCAAGAGATGAAACCTTACCAGTGGTAGACCAGAAGGCTGGATGGCCTCAGGTGGTGTTTTGGCTGGTACAGTTGCTCTGCTTCTCAGAGATGCTCTGGAAGGATTTGGGATGTAAGGAATATGGCTGGGTTGACAGATCTTGACCAAGTACCCTCTCTTTCCCACCCTATCTTCTTCCATTACGCCTTGACATTTTCATCATGGTCAAAACTCTCTTTTCCAAAACCACATCTTTGGCATTTCATGTAGACACAGAACCCAGCCCTTAACTCTCTTCAGACCAATATATTTTTTTGGATTTCTGGATACCTGTTATTATTGTCCTTAACAAGGCAGAAAATTTACTGAGGAGAGAAATCATTTGTGTTTCCTATAGAATATGGCCTGTGATGGATGTAATCGTATCAGTTTCATGAGTATAGATCAAAGATTCAGAATCGAGACTCACTGGGAACCAAAATAAAAAACCTACATATTGCTATGTCAAAGAACTGCCATTAGATGGTAACCAAACCACACAATAAACAAAAGAGAAAGCCCTTATCCTTGAAATACTGCAAATGTTGGAGAGGTGCT